CATTGATATTTCTCTCCCTCTCTCCTTCCCTTCCCCTCTAAAGATAAATAAAATCTTAAAAATCTTTAAAAAAGGACAGGCAGATCCGGAGACAGAGAGCAGACTAGGGGCGGTGAGATTTTGTTCCAAGGGCCAGGGGGGAGCCACAGAGGGCAGTGAAGCAGGGACCCCGGGGTCACGGTGTCTGACAACGGGGGATGTACAGGGCAAGCACGGAAGCGCCCGGGACGCCTGGGGGGAGGGGCTCCGGCAAACGTCCCTGCACGAGACCACACTGGTGGGATTAGGGCAGCGGTGACGGAGAAGGAGGCTCCGAGCGAGGGGCCAACAAGGCCCAGGGACGGGGCTCCTCCCGCCCACGTCGGGCGAGATGCCCGGGGCCATCAGCCTCAGTGTCCTCAGCCGCAAAAGGGTGTGCCTGCGGCCACCACCATGTGCTGGGTAAACGGCAGGTGCTCAATAAGGAGAGCTCGGCAAGGAAGGAGGGAGGACTCCCAAGAAGGAAGGCCCGAGCTCCAGCAAGCCCTTGCAGGTGGCATGGGACCCAAGCCTCAAATCACGGCACCCGGGCGCTGCCCCGCCACCCAGGGAGTCAGTCAGAGGGCCAGGTGGGAGGCAGGGCTCCCCGCCTGGGCCTCTAGCACGCTGTCGGGTGGGTGGAGGATGCGGCAGCACCCCACGATCCTGCTAACCCCACACCCCATGTTCCGGTCCACCATGCGGCCCCAGTGAGCTTCCCCACAGAGGGAGCTCGCTGTGCGGCTGCGGCTTTGCATCCACCTGCAGCCAATCAGAGCGCTGGGCATACAGCAGGTGCTCAATGAATGGCCCTGTCCAGCACAGGAGAGTTCAGAGACACCCACAGGTTTCCACCCTACCCTGCTGGGCAGAGGCCTCTTTCCAGGGGGGCGGGGGGTCCTGCCCCCACATTCCTCTCCGGCCCCAGGCAGGACAGTCGAGGCCACACCGAGGCACATTCCACAGATTTCCCGTGTCCTGGGCAGCCTCGTTCCGATGCGGGGAGGGGGGGGTCACAGCTGGGACGTCTCTGAGGTGGGGGGAGACGCTCGTGGAAAGAGACGGGACTGCAAAAATGAGCCTGGGAGCCTTCAGACCAGAGCTGGCGCCCCGGCTGAGATGGAAGGCGGGCTCTCCGGGCCCCACGTGCCGGTCCCTTTCTCAGAAGGAATGGGCACCGACACTGAACTTGTGATACGGCGGGGGAGGGGAGCCTCAGAAATCAGCCGCCACGCAGGAGCGGAGCACCCACCACAGGCACAGGCGCACATGTGCACCCATCAGAACCCCCCGGGTGCCTGGGGAGGCTGCGGTCCCACGGAGGGGACTTGCCCGTCACACCCCACCCCCGGCCAGCCTCCCCACCCCGGTCGGCGCCCCCCACACACCCTGCTGTCTCTCCAGCACCTGGGACAGTCTGGCGCCCGGCAGGTGCTCCATGTTTGTCTGCCTCAGAGCTGACCCCCCACAAGAGGTGAGGCACTTGGCACACAGTAGGTGTGCCAGTGTCCTTCAGCTGCCGTCACAAACTGTCGCAAGCAGAGGGCTAAATAAAAACGGTAGGAATTTATCTTCTCCCTGCTCTGGAGGCCGGAAGCCCCAAACCAAGCTGTGGGCAGGCAGGGCCACGCTCCCTCCGGAGGCCCCAGGGGAAGGTCCAGCCTGGTCTGTCCCAGGTCCTGGGGGCTCCAGGTGCCCCTGGACCTGCGGCCGCGTCACTCATCTCCGCCTCCATCTCCACGTGGCCTTTTTAATTCTGTGTCTGCACTTGGTGCTGCCCCCTCTTCCAAGGACCCACCCGAGGCTCCAGGGCCTTCTCCACTCCAGAGTCACCTCTTCTGAACTGACCACCTCGGCAAAGACCGCCTCTAAACGAGGTCCCACGCACAGGTTCCAGGGGGGCAGGAAGTTGAGGCAACACTATTTAACCCTACACAGCGAGCACTCGGTAAGTGTTGGTTTTGTTCACCTGGCACAGTGGCCGGGGCACCATCTGGAGAGCCTGCCCAGCTCGGGGTGCTGCCGCCCGCTCAGCCCCAAGGTGGGGCCGGCAAGACGGGCCCGTGGTGCATCGGTCAGCCTGGTCAGTCAGGAAATGGTCTGAGCACCTGCCACGTGCAGGCTTGGGGTTCCAGCAGGGAACCGGGCAGATACGAAGGCTGCCACTCAGAGATGTCACTCCAGGTGACAGGCCTGGCCCGTCAGGGAAAGCCCCTGGCCAGGTGCTCCACGAGTGACAATGGATGGACAAACGGACAGACAGATGAGTGCATGGGATCGACAATGGATGATGGACAGACAGATGGGATGAATGGATGGATGGAGAAGAGAAGGAGCAAAGGAGGGGAGAGAGAGGATGGATAGATGGATGGTACGGACAAAGAGACGGACAGGATAGATGGACAGGATGGATGGGTAGATGGACAGATAGGCCACGGGTGTCTTTATGCCACTGACGTCCCTACGCCGAGTCCCTGCCAGCCACCGTGGGGACGCAGATGAGCACCTCCGTGCCCAAGGTCACCCGGCCCACACAGCTGCTCCCCGAGCCCCAGCCTGTGGGGCACAGGGGACCCTGGGGAGACACCCTCCGGTCCCAGCTCCAGAATCTGACCGGGGAGGGGCTGGGACAGATTCTCAGAGGAAAACTCCGCACCCAGAGGGGAGTTCAAGACCCGAGAGCCACGGCCACCACTACCCTGCACTGCTACAAATACTGGGGGTCGGGGGAGGAGAGGCAAGTTCATGGTGACGAGGACAACACCGTCGGGAACAGGGGTGGTTACTGTTACTGTCCCCACTTTGCAGATGAGCCTGCGGGGGCTGTGTGAGGGTAACGGACCCCACGAGAGAGCAGGGAGCCCCACGCCTGGAGGCAGGGAGGCCTGCCGGGGGCGAGCTGGGCGCCCCCAAGTCCAGGCAGCCCTGAAACCCCGGCTGCACACAGGTCGCCCAGCCCCCTCTTGGTGTAGACGGGGCAACAAAGCCCGAGAGGGGCACAGACATGAGCGTGGTCACTCAGCGGGCTGGACCTGCGTGGCTGGGCTCCATCCTCCTCGACCAGAGCCCTCTGCCCACGGGGCCCAGGCCTCTGGGGAGGTGGGGACAGTGGCCTGAGCCCAGCCCACCTCAGACCCTTCAGGGGAACAAACACCAGGGGCCATGGGGAAAGGGACCAGGGTCCCAGGGGATGAGCAGGTCTCAGGACAGACGGCCGCAGCAGCCTGGGGAAGGGCTGTGTCCTGCAGGCATGAGCTGAGCCCGGGGCAGAACATACCAGCCTCTTCCCCTAAGAACAGCCCAGCCACCGGGGGGGTGGGGGGGGGGTGGAGCCCAGCTCCACCCCAGTCCTGCCTCCCACCCCACCAGGGCCCTCCTGTCCCCTCGCCTGAGCCTCACCACGGCCACCACACGGGAAGCTCCAATGTCCCTCACCGAACATGACCGTCCCACCTCACAGATCAGGAACTGAGGCCTCAGGAAGGTGACATACCCGCCCAAGGTCACACAGCCCACACGGCAGCCAGGCTCGTCCCCGACCCCAAAAGCCACGGGCCGTTGCCGAGCGCACCCCGCGCCCCTCTGCGGCGAGCGGAGGGGAAGTGGCGCTGGTTGGAGCCACCGAGGAGGCCCGTGTGTTTCTCATTTAATTGGTACGTTTCTGTCCGCTGGACGGCGGCCAGCGCGGGCCGAGCCTGCTCCCCCGCCAAGAGGATCTGCTCCAGATCACTTCCTCCTCGACTTCTTGTTTTCCCAGTTAATTTTAAAAGGAAGAGAGAGAGGGAGACCACAGCCATGACAACCCTCCCCCCCCGCCAGGTCACAGGACTCCCCAGGGCCCCCCCCCCATACCCTGGGTGCCCGGAGACCCAGCTCCTCTGTGCGACCTTCCACAGGACAATTTTCTCTGCGGGGGGTGGGGGGCCCAGGGAAGGGGAAGCAGACGCCTGCATTCAGGCACCGGCTGTGGGGCCTGACGCTTAGCCCCCTGCCCTGGACTGGGCGCGGAGCAGCGAGCTGCCTCGGGCTCAGCCCACGGCGTTGGCTCTCCCCTCAGGGCGGCGACCTGGCACCTAACCCAGGGCGCGCGGGTCTCCAAAGGGGCCTGGGGCCCACCCCCTTCACTGTCTGGTCCAGAAGGAATCCCACCACCCAAGGGGAAAACGGACCCCAGGACACAGCTCCAACGACACTTGGCGGAAAGAAAGGAGCAGGTGCAAAAGGCCGAGGGCCGTGGGGTTTCCTTGGGATGAAGCGCCCGGTGGCGTGAGGTTCACAGAACGGAAATAAGGATGCAGGTTACCAGGGCCGGGGAGGCGGGGGGAGATGGTGTCCAATGAGAACTGAGTCTCAATTTTGCAAGATCAAAAAGTTCAGGAGGTGGGGGGCAGGGGGCGGCTGCACAACAGTGGGAACACACAGAACACTCCTGACCTGCGCCCTGAGACGTAGATGGGATGGAAGCTCTTTGCTTACGTGTGTTTTGCCACAATTATAAGGAGAATATGAAAATGCAGCCCCCACCTCCTCCAGGAAGGCCTCCCTAGTTGCTGGCCCACAGGAATCCACTGGGCTTGTGTTGCTGTGGTGAGTCCCCCACCAGGGCTACCCCATGAGACAAGAGTGTTGCCAAGTGCACTGCCAGGGGTCCGGCGCTCAGCAGCCCCTTTCCTGGCTCTGGTCCTCCTCACCTCAGGCACCAAGGGCCGCCTCTAACCTGGCGGCCTGGACGCAGGAAGGGACAGATCTGACACTCTGCCCTGCAGCCCCAGGCCAGGCCCTCAGTGGCTCTGTCTGCCTGCCTATCTGCAGCCCCCACCCCATCCTGCCGAGACCTGGAGTGAGGGGGCCCCGCCGACCTCCCTGCACCGACATCTGGCCACCGTGTGCACAGCTGTGCAGCTGCCGGAAATGCCTCCTCCCGCCCCTCCCCCACGCACGCCAGGACAGTGTTCCAAGGAACGCATGGGGTCGCCCCGAGTATGTCGGGGCAGATCTCTGGGGGACCCGCTCCGCCACATGTGAACAAGGACAAACGTTTCTGTCCGGAAGAACAGCTTCGCCAGCAGCGGCGACCAGGACTGGAGCCCACCCACCCGACGACGGCCCTCCCACGCACTCCCCCAGGCCAGACCCAGGGGGGCCCGCCTCCCACAGGCCTGGCCCCTTTCCAGCAGACACCCAGGCTGAGGCGGAGAGGGCCCACCCCGACCAGCCGGCCCAACGCTGACACGGCGGCGTCGAGAACGCGGCGGCCCGGGGCAGCCAGGAGCCCAGGCGGCAAGTGGCACGGGCGTGGGTGTACTTCTGTCTGCAGAGAGAGAGCAAGGCGGACCCTGTCTGGGGAAGAGGGTCCCAGAGGCAAGGAAGAGGAGGGAGAGGAGGACCACGGAGGCCCCTGGAGTAAGTCCGGGAGGAGGTAAGGGGCACCGAGGGTGGCGTGTGTTGACGGCCACCAGAAGGAGATGACCGCTGGTCACGAGTGTAGCCCGGGGACCCACACCTCCCAATTCTTTCTGAAGTAGAAAGTCCAATGGGGAGACACCTTTCAATTCACAATTTTTATTTGAAAAACAGTGACGGTGAACCCGACCCATCAATCACCCAAACGCATGCCACGGGCCACCGGATGGGACCTGAGCCTGCTGACTGCTGACGGGCGGGCGGCTGGGAGCCACGAGGAGGGCCAGCAAGGCCTAGGGGGCCTGAAGAAGGGTGGCCAGTGACAGGCGAGACGTCCCCCCGGAGAGAACAAAGGCTCGGAGGGAGAGATCTGAGGAGACCCCCGACTTCACCAGGCAATGGGAGGGGCTGGGCTGGCTGTCCCATGACCCATCAGCGTGCTCCTCCCCCAGCAGGACATACACTGGCCATGGAAGGGGGGCCGGGCAGGGACCCCACCTGTCCCTTGCGCTTCCACCCCCATGTCCTCAGTCCCGGACCCTCGGGGAAGCTGAGCCTGCCCCCAGGTCTGGCCGAGGAGCTGCTGCCCGGGCCTCGCTGCTCCTGAGTCTCCGGGGAGGGCTCCGGCCGGCCTCCGCCAGCTTCTGGCAGCTCCGGGCGTCCCTAGGCTTGTCGCCTCGAAACCCCAGTCTCTGCCCGGCTTCAGGGGGCCTCCCCTTTGTGTCTTCTCTTTGTCTCTCTCCTAAGGTCACTGGTTCCTGCATTTAGGGCCCACAGGTCATCTGTGGGGACCTCATCTCAAGACAGGTCCCACGTCCAGAGCCGGGCGGTCACAGGTGTTGCCGGGGCCCCCGCCACCCAGCCACAGCCTTCCCCACCAGGCTCTCTCCTCCGGGCCGCTGGCCCAGCAGACTCTGTGCTGAGCAGATGAAAAACCGAGGCACCGAGACGGAAGCCACACGCCCTGGGGCCTGAACTGCCTTCTCGGAGCGGCCCTGACACAGAGCCACTGGGCTGCACAGGAAACAAGGACTCTCACACCCACGCGGCCGGGGAGCAGGCCAGCGGCCAAGACCCACCCCTTCACGGGCCAAGGGGCTCGGCGCAGGGGCTGGACTCTTCTCAGCGTTTCCGTGTGTTCCCGGTCAAGGCGAGCAAACCCCGCCTCCCAGGCCCCCCGGGGATCCCCACCTCTACCCCCAGCCCTGCCCTGCCGCCGGCCCACCCAGCTGCCCACCCAGCCTCCCACCCAGTGCAGAAAGGGCCCATTATGACTTCACAGGCCGGGAATTATGTTATTAGCCTGGGAAGGAGGCTGCACCCAGGCACAAAGGGCTCATTGTCATGCAAATGCCCGACTTGGAAGGCGGGGTGGCTCCTCCAGCCTCCCAGCTTCCAGCCTCAGGGGCAGACCCACTGCAGGCCCAGTGCGGGCGCCCCCAGCCTCAGAGCAGGACCGAACAGGGCTCTCTCCGACCGACGGCCCCCCAGCCCCTGGCTTCAAGTCCTGCGTCCTCTACAGCTGAGCTGCTGCCTGGAGTCAGGGAGCCAAAGAAGCCAAGAGAATATAACGTGCTCACAGCGCTGGGCAGCATTGCCGCGGCGCAGAAACACCTGCCCTGGAACTGCCCTTAGCTACACACAGCGCCTGTGAGTAGGCATGGCGGAGGCTGTGTGTCTCCGGGCGAGCTGCTGACCCTCTCTGGGCTGCCCCCCCGGAAAGGGTGCTTCGGGTTCCCGTCCAGGCTGAACTCAGTAAACGCAGGGACACAGGGCGCTCGCCACACTGTCAGTCCTCAGTACACGGAGGAGACGGCCCTGCACCCCAGCCTGGCCCCCTCGCCTGCACCCCACTTTCCTTACAAGTTTGACCTGTCTCAGTTTATCTAGGAAAGGGAGACAAATCTCTGGGGGGTGCATTCTTGAGCAAATGCACAACTGCTTTTTGAAAGACCCTGGTTTTCCCGGCACACCCCAAAACATTACTGACCTCCCACCCGACCCCACAGAAGTTCTGGGATGAAGGGAGGTGAGCACGACATAAATTCCGACTCCAGGGCCGAGTCTCCCTGACGGAGCCCTTGCAGGTATGACTGACCCGGACGCTCCGTCGGGGCCCCTCCGTCCCCAGAGAGGCCCCACATTCTGTGAGGAACATGGAGTCAGGCACGACTGTGTCCAGCACTTGGTAGTGACCGAGGCGGACGAAATCCTGGGAGGACGTGCTGGATAAATATGCAGTAAGTCCCAGGTGGTGCTAATGGCAGGGGGACAGGGAGTGGCCGTGGGGAGGGCCTCTCTCAGGCCTGGAAGAGGGGAGGCCGGGAAGGCCTCAGAGCAGGTGTCTCGGGAAGAGGGCAGAACGCGCTCCTGAGCGGGAGAGGCGTGTGAGTTTGGCACCACGAACTTTCTCACGTTGCTGCAGCCAGGTCACGGCATCAGGAGCAGGAATGTCCACTGCAAGGGGCGCCTGTGCAGCCCGTGGGAGCGCTCCAGACCTGAGACCCTCAGGGCCGGGCAGGGGAGGCCACCAAGAGGACTCGGGGGCAGTGCGGGGACACACCTGGGGCCCCCTGCTGCACAGGCCTTCCCCAAGGTCCCCCCGGAGACAGGTAAGGACACCCCAACGGCAAGTGGTCGAGGAGGGCAGCCTGCACTTGAGGGGAACTCCCAGCTGGCTCCTGCTGGCCCTGAAAGAAAGGCTCCGGGCCAGCGGGCCACCGGCCCGGCATCCGGTGTGACTTACCAATGCACCGTGGCTGCCGCCCTCATGGGCCAGCCGGCCCTGCCCACTCGGACCCCAGACCACAGCGGGCAGAATCTGGGTGTCTGGTGCAGATTTGGTGGGAGACAGGACAGAAAAGGCCTGCGCTGCGGGAACCCCGGGGACCCTGGCCCTGGGTCAGACGCGGACGGTCTAGGGACCCGGCCGCCTCCAACTCTCCGGGCTGGGGTTCCCACATCTCTCAGCAAGGGTTCTCAACAAGGGAGAGAAGAAAAGTCGCTGGGGACCCAGACGTGGCTGACTTAAATGTGAGCCTGGGCCTACATGCCCAGGGCGCCCAGACACGGCTGAGCAGAGCCCTGCAGACCAGTCCCGCTTTCCCCAGACGTCCCCGCAGGAGCCTGGTGCCGTGTGGAGGAGGGACCCAAGGTTCCACGACACTCCTTGACCTGCCCCAGGTCGCACTGTCTGTGAGGGGCCGGGTGGCAGTATTGACGTGCCCCTGTAAGCCACACCACAACTTGTGGAGTGGGGACAGATGGCGTACCCATTTGTCAGATGGGAAAACCGAGGCTGAGGACAAAGTGCCTTGTCCCAGGTCACGCGGCCAGGAAGCATTCGGCTGGGACTTGGACCGGGCAGTCGGCCCCAGAGGGAAGCAGGGGCCGCAGCTCCTGTGACGTCACCTCACACCGTGGGACCCCCGTTAGGGCCCCATCTTACAGATGGTGACACTAGTCTCACACAGGGGAGGTGAGGCCACTCGGTACAGAAAGAGGGAAGGAGCTGGGATTCGACACCAGGATGTGGTGGGCGGGCCACACGGCTGGGGACCCAGACCCTCCGGGGCCAGGCTGGAGCCCCCAGGAGCCCGAGCCACACGCTGCCCCCCAGCCCCGGCACACCCAGACCTCAGGACGCGTCTCGCCCTCACCCCGCCGCTCGCAACTGAGGGCTCCTTGTGAGCTCGGGAAGCCTTTCCAACTTTCCGGTGTTTACCAGGCTCCCGGCTGCCAGGGCCCTGGGCAAGCCTGGGCCGGTGGCGCTGATTTCAAACCAGACACGGGCACCTGGCCAAGCGCCACCGCGGTGGGAGCCGGGCGCCAGGGACGCCGCAGCACAGCCTGCACCTGGCCCCCTCCCCCGCTGCACCCCCGAAGCCCGGGGACCACCTCCAGGGCCAGGACCACCCAGACCCTCGGCTCTGCCTGTGGCCCCGGAAGAGCAGCAGCGACCCACCCCATGCGCCCCCTCCTACGGACAGCGGCCAAGGGGAACTGCCCCGCCAGGACACCCGCCCCCTCAGCGCCCTTTTCCTGGGCGTCAGCCGGCCCACTGTCCGACGCGGCCAGCAGCCCGAGGTCCGCGCTGCGAGGCCCTGGGCCACCACGCCGGGCGGGACCGGGCTCCGGCCAGAGGCGCCATCGGCACCCCATCGGTGCCCCCTGCCCCGTCCCACCCCACCAGCGAGCCGGGGCTGCGTCCTTGCCCACCTCCCTCCCTGCCTGCCCACCGCCGGGCCCGGAAACTTCTTACCGAGCACATGACCAGCCTTCCACTCACGTCAGCTCTCAGCACAACTTGAAGTAACTCTCCCACAAAAAAAAAAAAAAAAGAAAGAAAAGAAAAAGAAAGGCGAGGAAATGTGCCCGCGGTGGGGCAGCGGAGTCCACACACACACTGTCGTGTTGGCTTCCAGAGGGCGCCGCCGCGGCCAGCGTCAACCCATGCTTCCCGCAGGAGGCCTGCCGCTGGGAGGGGGCGGCCCCCGCGCCCCGCCGCCTTCCCGCGAGACTACGGGCTCCCCGGGACGGCGAGGCCCGTGGCCCCCCAAAGACGGGCCGCCGGCCACCGGGGACGAGCCGCGGGCGTCCGCCTGCCCCGCAGCGCAGCGCAGCCGCCAACGAGGTCAGGCCCCCGCGCTCCCTCCTGCCTCCTGCCACCCGGGCCTACAAACACAGGGAATTACATAAGTCCACTCCTCTTGTTGAGGAGCCAAAAGTAGGAGCCTTTTCTCCCAGCCTTGGCAGTAAGTAATAATTCCTCATCGCCATGGTAACCCTGGCGGGCTTCCAGCCGCCACTCAGGAGCTGGAACACTGGGAGGCCTTTTTATAGCTCGGGGAGAAAAGCCTCTTCACCATCCCTTTCCTCGCTCTCGCAGGGAAAGCGAGCTCCGGGCCGAGTTCCCCTCTTTAACTGCTTCCTCCCAGCCGGAAGGCCCCCCCGAGCCTCCCCCAACCCCGTCCCCGGAGCCCGGGCCTGCCCGCTGCCTCCTCTGGCCCGGGCCTGCCATGGAACCCAAGCCGCTGGCCCTGTCCCCTCCCGTCCGCCAGTCTCCAGGGTGACGTGGCCAGAGGGTAGCCCTGCCTTTAAACTATGTCTGTGCTCGTCCTCTCTGGAAAAGCCAGCGAGCTCCTCACAGGGGCATTCCGGACGGGGGGTCATCGCGGCCACAGGCCCCAAGGGAGGAGAGACGCAGCCCCGCCCCCCGCACGCACACACAGGCCGACCTGGAGGCCGCGGTGGTCAGCCAGGGGTCTGAGCCTTGGCTGTGACCGGCCGAGTGAGTCACCCTCGCTGGCGTCCCATCTGGGGCAGGACAGGTTCAGTCTCAAGGGAGAGACAGTGCCGAGGCGTCGGGACACAGAGGGTCCCCACGGTGGTCTCCAGACTCCCTCTCTCGCCTCCGCAGCCAGCAGTTGGGCCCGGCAACGCCTGTCCAGGACCCGCACAGGGCCGGGGAGGCACCCTGGCGGCGGGAGATGGGGCGGGGGCAGAGGCTTGGAGGCCGAAGCGAGTTCGGTGTTGCAGAAGCAGAGAGCAGGCTGGGGTGGCGAGGGCAGTGGTCACGGGGGGCGGGGCATTGTCAGGTGGTAACAGAAAGTGTGTGTGGGGCTGGGGTGGGGGGCGGCTCGTAAGGGCTTTGGGCAAGTCCCTCCAGGGACTGAGGATGCTCCCGGGAGTGACCGCAATAGTGATAACACGTACTGTGCACCCCGCACTGCCACGGTGGAAGCACCTCACCCATCGGCCCCTCCACCCTCAGGAAAGCACCCTGGGAGGTGGGCGTCACCCCACACACACCCAGAGGGAAACGGCCAAGAGGCCCAGTGGCTCGTCACAGGTCACACGGCAGGGACACGGTGGCCGTGTGAACGGGGGACGCCTGGCTTGCCCCCACGCCGCCACCAAGGACTTGGGGCAATCTGGGGTCGATCAGATCTGTGTGCCACAAAGGTCCCTGGCTACAGGACTAGCGGGGAGCCCTGAGCAGCCTCCAGGAGACCCCTGAAGAGGCCCCGGGGAGGCCTCATGTGGGCCGGCCTTCGTCAGCTCACCTCCAGGTCCTTCCCAAGGAAACACCTGCCCGGAAGCCAAGGCAGCGACTTCCCTCCCCCCCAAGCCTTTCTTCATAGGTGGGAAACCGAGGCGCGCAGTTAAGTGAGCGACCAGAAGCCGTGTTTTCAGATCACAGGGCTGGGCACTGTCCTCCGGCCTGCCGGCTCCCTCCCTGACCTGCAGGGGACCACGGAGTGGGAATGAGCCAGGCCGGCCCTGGCGACCCCAGGCAGGAAGCAGGCTCGCTGGTTCCTTTCGTCCTCTTCCTGTTTGAGTTGGACACCGACCTACGCCCAGACCTTCGCGGAGACTGGCCCCGCATCCAGGGAACCGCATCCACCCCCCTGAGCTGTGGGGGCTCAGGCAGGCTCTGGCCGGGTGGTGTCATTCCGCAGCCACTTCTCGTGTCTCCCCTGGAGGGAGCCGGCCAGTGCGGGGGAGGGGGGGCGGGGGGGTTGCTGAGTGACTTCACAGGGCGGCAAAGCGCCCAAGACCAGAGATGGCCGCTCGCTGCGCCCTCCACATGGAGCCGATGTGGCCGACTGCCTGGCAACAGCACCCTCATCCCCGGGCCTCCGACCGTGACCCTCTGACCAAACCGTGCCACAGGCCACTCTCAGAAACCGGCCTGCCAGGCAAAGCTCTGGGGACGGTGGGAAAGATCCGTAACAATGTCAGAGGACACGCTCTGACACTGGGGGACTCGGAGGCCCCCCGAGAGAAGGGGGGCGTCCTTAGACCGAGCGCCCCCGTCGAGGCCCCTGCCTCGGCAGCAACAGCCTGCTCAGCATGAAAATGCAGGTGTGGCCCTCCACTGCCTCAATCAGGGTCCGCACGAACTGTGCCTGCAGCGGAGGGGTCTCCGGTGACTGGAGGGGACCCTCAGTCCAGCTCCCCTTCAGCATCCAGCCCCAGGTGGAAGGGACCCCGGCTTACTTCCTCCCCAGGTGGCCGCTGCTTCCTGACCAGGCACAGAGATAAGGCTGGACACAGGGTGGGGACGGGGGAGGGAGACGGGGGGAGAGAGAGAGAGCGCTAGACATGTCCTCTGGTGGCACCTCCTCTCCCCTGCCCTGCACCTCAGCGCCCCGAGACTTGAGCAGGTAACCACCTTCCTCTGCACTGCCTCGGTTTTCTCATCTGAAAAGCCACTTAGGACACGCTCTTGTGGACGCACAGCCACCCCACAGACCGTGACGGGGCCGTGACGGGGCCGTGACACAGAGCGAAGCACCGGGCCTGCTGCGACGTGGATGAACCTCAAAAAGATGGCGGCGCTGAGCGAGGGGCGCAGGACACAGAGGCCACATGTGGGGGGGACTCCGTGGATGGGGACCGTCCGGAAGAGGCAGAGTCATGGAGACGGAAAGCCAATCAGTGCTGGCCGGGCCAGGGACTGGAGAGGGACAGCTCCTGGGGACCCAGGTTCCTCTTGGAGTGACAAAAACAGGTTAGAGCCAGATAGGGATGGTAGCTGTAGGACACCGTAAATAAACGTACTAAAAACTAACGAATTGCTCACTCAAAAATGGCTGACTTTATGTGATTCACACGGAAAAGATGGTTTGGTTGAACGGCCGCCGTTCCCCGGCCCAGTTCACTGCCTTCCTGAAAGACAATGTCCGCCTCCCAGCTGGTAGGAGTCCTGAACCCCAGGCCTGGAGCCGGCAGACACCCCACACTTATTGAGCACCGACTGCATGCACCGGGCTCGGGGGACACCGTGGGAGCAAGACGAAGCCCCTGGCCCTCTCCCGCCCGCCCCATGGAGCTGATGTTAAGGAGGTGAGCAGGTCAACAGCAGACCCAGACAAGATGTAATTCAGGTAATGACGCCGCTGTGGACAGGCAGCTGCCGGGACGGTCAACAGCGTCCTGGGAACAGTGAGGGAAACTTCTCGGGGGCAGTGTCCCACTCGGAGAAACAGTCCGGACAAAGGCCCCAAGGTGAGTTCTGGAACAGCCGGAATCGGCGAACCAAGACAGCAAGTGGCTGGGACCGTCCGCCGGGTCACGAGCTCCAGGTCACCTGGGGCCCCCGGGGCCAAAACTGGTCTTGAAATCTGAAGTGTTATTACCGTGCAATGCACAGCAGCACTCGTGTCCTGGGGCCGCTCAGACAAGCGACCGCAGACCAGGGGGATTAGAACCCAGCAATTCATTCTCCACCGGCTCTGCAGGCCAGCGGCTGGGCATCGAGGGGTCGGCTGGGGTGACCTCCGTTCGAAGCTTCTAGAGAAGGGTTCTTCCTGCCTCTTCCAGCTCCTAGTGGCTGCAGCTGCCCCTGGGCTTCTGGACCGGTCACTCCCACCGCTGCCTGGGTCCCAAGGGCTTCCCCTCCGAGTCCTCTCTTCTAAGGGCTTCCGCCAGCAAAGTCAGGGCCCACCGTGATCTTGGATGATTCTACCTCCATCCTTAACTTGACCTCATCTACACAGACCCTTGGTCCTCACAAGGTCACATGCACGGTTCCGAGCAGACATACCCTCTGGGGCCACAACTTGACCCTCTGCCACGCAATGCATCAAGAATCACCAAGATTCAGGGCACGAACGCTCCAACTGTGCCTGGCCCGCCCTCTCCTCTCCACAGGATTCTGGGGAGCCAAGCGACAAGCTGTGGGGAGACACCTGAGCACCCTAAGGACTGCGCCCGGCCCTCTCCCACCTGAGGCAGCCATGAATAGACCCAAGATCCCCTTCCACGCGAGGGGCAATCAGGAGCTGCTGCCCACAGGGGGCTTGCAGGAAAGCGTGTCCTTGACTGGGAGCCCCAGCAGGCCATGACCTTTACCCTGTATGAAGATGACCCAGGCCAAAATGCATCCGGCCTTCCCCATCCCTCCATCGGGGCACCAAAGTGTCCACGCTGACCAGGGCCAGCACACTGTCTTTTGGGCCATTTTTATTTTGAAAGGGCCGCCCCCACTCGTGGGCACTCTGAGCTGGCAGCAGGCAGAGCTCGGTGAGGGGGGCTGGCCGGTGTGGCCGCGCAGGGGGTGGCAGCTGCCTGCCCCCGAGGCCTTAGGAGCCCACTCCCGGGGGCGGGCAGGGGTGGCAAAGGAAGGAGGGGGTGTCCGGGAGTGCCCCTGGCCACCGCCTGCTGGGTCCCGGGACCCAACCTGGAAAGGGCAATGTTACTGGGCAGGCGCACACACACGCACCCCAGGGGTGGGCACTGGGGGGCAGACTTCACCCAGGCCTCTCAGGCCTCCCAAAAATCCTACCCTGTTACATGGGGGGCTGGGGGCACGGAGCCGTGGAGCGCCCCGCCCACGGGCACCGGGAACTACATGGTGGGGTCTGAACCCAGGGAATGCGGCGCCAAGGTCCACAGCACTGACCACAAGGCTCGCCCTCTTTCTCGAGACCTCGGGCAGCACCGGAGGGCTCTCTGGGACACTGTGGGGGGGCCCTGGGCCCCACAGTGGGGAAAGAGCCTCTCCAGGGGCGCTGAACGTGACTTCCAAGCCTCGGGACCTTCGGGTACATTCCATGGGACATTCTGCCCAGACAATAGAAGGCAGAATAGTTTCAGATAAAAGTCACAGCTAAGAACAGAGGCCACAAAATGATGACAGTCAGCTGTGGCCAACCGGGAAGCTCTTTCTCACACACATGTTTTTTTAAAAAGTCAGGACATTGCTTATAAAATCCAGATTTCGGCTTCTCCTGGGGGAAAAATAGTCAGAATACTCGGCACGCCAGTTAGTCACAATCCTCACCCCTCCCTTTTGCCTCATGCCCTTCCGTGACTGCGTCTGAGTTTGGAACACCCCTCCCCCTAACCCTGGCCTCCTCCCCCAGCCGCTGAAGACAGATGAACAGGTTAAAGGCACACAGACAGGACAGAGGAGAGACACTCCTGAGTCTCCTTCACCTTGGCTGGCGGTGCTGGTGATGTGGGAACCTGCCTGGGAACAAGGCCCCTGCAGGCTCTCCCCAAGGCAGAAGCTTTAGCTCCTGGATCCAGCCGTGCCTGAACTCGTCCTCCCTGGACCTTCCCA